CCTGGCCGAGCCACCTACAGGTGGCTCGGCCTTGGCCGAGCCACCTACAGGTGGCTCGGCTTTGGCCGAGCCCCCTTAGGCGGGTTTTCCGGTTTCCGTCGTTCGGGTTCCGTCGTTCGGGTTCCGATTTGTTGTTGATTTGGACTTTGATTCGGTTGCGTGGTTGACTTGTTCGGATTCGATTTGTTGATCCGGTTCCTGATTAGGCAGTAAGTCCACTTCTGAGTTCGAGTCCGAAACCGATCTTGATTCGATCGTCATATCACCGAGTTCGTTCTTGTTTAGATGACTCGGTGATTCCCCGAAACGTTGGTTCGATTCCGCGTGCGAGTGGATGCGTTCCAATGCTTGGGTGCGATTTGTTGGCTTCGTCGCCTCGTTAATCTGCTCCGTTGCGTATGGTTTGGCTTCGGCGTTAGCGGGATAACGGTAGTGCTTGGATACGTCGCCCGATGGTCCGTTTGTCGAAATTAACGTCATCGAGCTGTATTGTGGGACCTATAGGCAATTTTATACGCCTACACACCACGTCCATAATATGTACATTTGTAGGTTTGTGTTATTCTTGGGTTCGACCTCTTGGGTAAACATTATTTGTCTTACTAATTTGTTTGGTTTTTATATATACGTCATTCATCTTGTATACATTTATAAATTTGGCATTTAATAACTTCATTCAAGTTTATATTTTAATTTTAACTATATTATTATCTTCATACTATGTATATCAAATAAGAATTCATCAATTTATCAACTTATTCTTACTTAATGAATTAGTATTTGAATTTCAAGGGTATTTTTGTCTACTAAAAGATTTTTCCGAACTCGTGCTTTTAAAGGGAGTATGATATATAAATATATATAAGAAAAATGGGTATGCTTGGTACCAAGCATAAGTTTTTGTGTTTGGTAGTGATGTGTCTCATTCCTCTTCACTCATTAAAATCGAAGCCCACATTCACATGGGTTAGAGAGTGGTTGGGAATGACAATGAGTATATGAGAATGAGACACTTGACTACTCTTATTAAAAGCATACCAAGTATATATCTCTTTCATTTTCATGCAAGTACCACTACTGTTATTATCCCAATTAGGTTTCCTGATTCTACTCTTGACTGCTCCTATTAAAAGCAGGCGTCTATACTTCGTAAGCTCCACTCGCATCAATTTCATAGTATATTCTTTTATGAAGTACATTCCTGCATATCAACCATAATTAGGCTTAGAAATCTAAACAAATTTGGTTGCGGAACATGGATACTAATGAAATATACACCCCACTAAAAGTAAAGCACCACAACATGGTTAACCCATAATCTCACTTTTCACTGACTACATTCTTTAAGACAGAAATCTCTACCCACAAAGAGTGCC